GAGTGGGGGCACTTCGGTCGATTTGGGGGTGGAGTGGGGAAACCAACGGGAGGGGTTAGGTGGATGGCTGGCTCATAGGATAGGTTGTCACCGGTGTGACGAAGGAAAGTAGGGTCTACAGAAAAATGAGCGCTTCACTCACCATCTTGAGGCGAGGCCTGCGCTGCTACTACATAACACAACGTATTACGAGCGTTCAATTGCTAATTCATGAGGCTTAGTATAAATATACTTTCAACAAAGTTGAGATACTTCCAATTTGGTAGTTGTTTCCTCTGTTTTCTTCACTCAATGCATACCGTCCTCTTACCGACTACTCTGTATTGATCACGATTGTTGGGAGGATAATTTCACTCAATGCCAATTTCTTTCGAGAAATAGTTGTCAAACTTGACGTAAACTCAATCGTGTTGGAGGAATGACGAAATGAAATACATGCAAGCTAATCTCTGTTTCCTTGTGTGTGTTCGACTCTAGGATTCGTCGAGTTTGGAACTGTAATAAGCCTGTGCTCTGGTGAGGAGCATTGTAAGATTTTGAAGGCAAACCAGTTTTAGTTGGTATAAGAACAACGCGTTAGTTTTGTGCGCTTCAAGCGTTTGTGCTGGCGTTCGGTTTATTTTTTATGATCAATCAAGTTATTTTGGGAAAACTTGAAGTTTCTATCAATTTGTTTCTATCAGTATTCGCGATTGAACGTTGAATGTGTTTAATAATGGGTCTGATTTGTATTAAAAAAATCTTGCCGAAATAAGAAACCGGATCGTTTGGATGTCGAGTGACGGAGATAAGATTATTAGAAAGTAAATGGTAAAATTTTATATTAAACAAAAATCTGTACATATATTTATGCATCAAATGTGTATTTGATCTCAAGAGATCAGTGACATGATATTTGTGCGATGAATGGCTTGAGTTACATGCTACATGCATCTTAAGCATCTCAATTTGAGCTAGAATAGAGCTGAGTCCCTCCCTATTATACTAGGTGATCAACATGCCAGAATTACAAGCTGATGATCTGTGAGTTAGGTGACCGCCACTGACTCTCCGCTCCACAGCCGTGCAGCGTGCACAGCCATCAGCCAGCCACCAGCCACTCAGCCAGTCGCCCCACGCAGTTGGCGGGAAGGCGGGGATCGTGTACGTCTGGAAGTCGCTAGTCGTCGCGCAGCATTCGAGGTCATTATTACTAGCTACATTCTTCTGGCAAACTGCTGCTAATCCTAAGTTTAGCGACTGATTTCTGCTGGAATCTTCAGTTCACTAATTCATTTGTAAAGACTTGAAGTTATTGAGAGCTGTTTTTTATTATTTACACATATTTTTTGTTTCATTTGCTAAGTTAATAAGCGTTCGTTATGAATTAGTTGGATGCTACTTTTTCTACATTGAATATTTTATTTTCTTCATTCATCAATATCTATTCGTGAATAATGTATCTAAAGTTCGTTAATGTTCATTGCGGGATTTGCATAACTCCTCATCGAAAATGTAACGCTTTATCCCTCTGATCTAATAGGAAATAATTCACGATACATGAATGATGAATGAATCGTTCACGGAGTAAAACGAACGTCTAGTTGGCGCGCGCTCAGTTTCCGGCTCAGTGGACGGTTGCGATGTAGTCCGTGTGTGCATGTATACACGACGCCATGCCGGACTCATCCTTCTGTCCGCTGCTCGGCGCTCCACGTTTCATGGCTTCATTCTGTTCCGCAACTCTCTGGATACGACGATATCTCACTTCCGTACACTCTCGACATTTAGACAGATTTTTAAGGGCTTTATTTGAGTCTTGAAATCATCGGCGTTTAGGATGGTAGCATCGGCAAGCCATGGAATGGTTCGTCTACTAAAATTTGAGCAGAATTGCCGTAGAAATAAGGTACTGAAGCCATGATCGTAGGATGATTCGAATTAAATGAAACGTACGAATATTGCGGAATTAATTATATTATAGCTCAAATTAATTTACTGATTTGAAACCACTTTATTATTTTTTTTCAATTATATTGATGTTTATTGTCAAACTCAATTTTTGTACCAATTTAGTTTAAACGATTTCTGTGGCGCGTCGCACAACAACAATCATAATAATAGCTATTATTATTATTCAGAAACAATGCTTGCCGCAAAGATGCGCAACGTAGAAAATATTTATCTTATGATGAATAACAGTATGAATCGTAACTGATCCGGCACATTTATTGATATAACTACTTTGGAATCTTATCCTCAGCTTTATGTAGGGGACGGAGATTTTCGAATTTTTACGTAGTCATCCTATTTACTTTAGTCAGTCGGTAAGTGCATCCAATTTTATCCCTACACGAAAGTTCATGTTAATACTATTGGTACCTAAGTTTGGTTTCGTGGCGGTGCAATATTTGGGTGCAGTGATGTTTTCACACATCTTATGTGGAATGTAACCACTATTGACGAAAATCAGTGCAATGTTGAACGGGTTTTCAGTGACATCTTGATGTATTTAATTTGTGATTGGAAGCGTACTGCACAACAAAAATTGAATTACTGTATATACCGTAAATAGTTGAATATAAGAACAGGTATACCTATATATAAATCCCAATTTTCAGAAGACAATCTTCATTTATTATTGGTTGTCGATCGCCCAACACATTTCACTTGAAATAACGTCGTTCATTACCATAATAAAAGTTTAAACCCCCACTTTACATTAACGTTTTATCCCGTTTTTATTTAGTAAAAAGTTGAGGTCACAAGATTTTGCTTCAATGATGAAACTTGTCGAAACGAAAATTATATATAAATCCTAGTTTATTTTTGCACTTTTTATTGCAAACATTATTTTTCTTTAGCAGCTAATTACTGAAAAATATCAACGATGAAAATTGTGACTTACCAAAATTAAGTACTAAACATAAGTGGGTAAAAAAACAGGTAAACTAGGTAAAAAATTGTGAAAACACAGGCGAATAGAGCAACATAAATCGCTATCAAACGTTTTTTTCGTTGTTTTTTAAGAGTTATAGCATATAGCATAACATTAGTTTTGTATTTTCGGTAGCCCTAGTGCATATTAGTCAGGAAACGTGATACAAAATACCTAGCGAAGCACAATAGCGCGGTGCATGCTAGTAGACGCCAAAAATAATTTGTGAGTTATCTGATGTAACGTGTATCAAGCCTCCTCGACGACCTGATGTAACGTGTATCAAGCCTTCTCGGCTACCTGATGTAACGTGTATCAAACCTTCTCGGCTACCTGATGTAACGTGTATCAAGCCTTCTCGACGACCTGATGTAACGTGTATCAAGCCTCCTCGACGACCTGATGTAACGTGTACCAATACTCGATGACCTAATGTACCGTGTACCAATACTCGACGACCTGATGTACCGTGTATCAAGCCTTCTCGACGACCTGATGTAACGTGAATCAAGACTTCTCGACGCACATGCATGTTACATAAGAACATACATAGGAACTGTCACTGAGATCTCGACACGACAATTTCTGTCAATGTGAAGGAGGTGAGTATTCATGATACCACTGATTTAGCGAAACGATTTCGAGCGACATACCTACTGAAGAAACGTCACTACTACCTAACTACCTAGACAGCGAAAGGCTTTCAAAAGACAATAATGAACCTAAAGGGAAACTTCAGCAAGATGAACGAGTTGTTGAAGATCTCACTGATTATAATTATCAAAACAACGTATATCGCCCAAATATCGCCCAAGAATGATCTCAAAGCGTCGCCCACGAAACGCGATGAGGTAGAATTTGTAGAAATTTGAAAAATTACTGATTGACTGAATGTATAATACATATGTTGCTTAAACTCATTGCATTCCTCATGAAATTATCGCACTACAACTTGGATAATTACGAGAGAGCGTAATGTTTTAGCCGTGAATAATATAAAAATAAATGAGGGCTATACTGATGTGTTAGCTCTGTCATGAGCTCTAAATGCTGCCAAGTATATTAAAAGAACTGAAAAGCAGAAAAAATTCCATACAAATTCATATCTTTATAGAAAACGTTTCGGAGTATTCTATAGTCATTGCGTATTTTAGAATTCATATGAAGAATCAGAAATCAATGCAATTGAAAGTCACAGAACCGAAATTAAAATCTAAGTTTACAAATAATATACAGAGCACAAGAAAACTATCCAAAATTTCAAGGGGAAAGGAGCTAAAAGCTGAATTCAAACTGGACCTATGTTTAAGAATGCGCAGGGGTTCTAAAATACACAGATCTGAAGTACCGGAGGTGGAAGCTAACACCCTGAAGTCACTGTCAGAGACAGGGTCATCACAAAAGTACAAGTGTACAACGGTATTTTTTAAAAAGTACAACGGTACCAGTATATCTGTTCAATGACTAGGTTTGTACCTTTACAAATGAGTTTAATTGTTATATGTGCAGGCCATGATTTCATTACAGTTCTAATTGTTCGTATGTGATTGACTCGTTCTTCCTATGTTCTTCAATTAAGTGGTAAGGTTTATAAGAATTTTAACTGGTCATGCATGCGTTTTCAGGGCTTTGTTACTTTTTCAAGCAGTAATTCAAAGTTTTTGCACAGAAAAGAATGGAAGGTTCAGTTTTTTTAAATAACAATAAATTTGTAAGCGTTATTTCATATTTAAAATATTATATTTGAAGGCATTATTTGCAATTTGTATGTACGGTAATTGCCGCCTTTAAACTGTCGCATGCAATAGGGTTCTCAAGATGAGGGCTAAAGTAAATTCAGTAATTTTATTATTATGTTTGTAATGGAATTTTTTCGATGAAGGTTGTGCAAGAAAGATTAAAATTATTTAATGGTCATGAATTTTGATGTAAGTTGTATTACTTGTATATACCATATTCCTAATTAACCCAGCTTGAGTAATTTTTAATAACGTATATGTAGCAAACGGTTGAAGCGAGCTCATGATGGCTAGTTGCTGCTTGCTTACTTGCGGCTTGCCACTTGTTTAGTTGGGTTTGGACCGTTGTGGAGACAGTGGTGTGACGCTCGGGCAAATATAGCTTGACTGAACTTCAAGTGGTGGATGTTTTTAAGGTATTATTAAATGTCATTTTAAGTTTTCATTGGCTTTTTTAGCTTCTTTGAAATGAGGCAATCCTTATGTGTGCAATTTGTGAAATTTAGCCTGTGAAGTGAAGAATTAAGTGATCTGAAGTGCTGTTGTGTTGTGGTAAGATGAGGTTGTGGTATTATCACTAGCCTCAGCATCACGTGTTGGAGAATCGAGAATGGAGGAGTAATAACTTTTGGAGGCGCCTTATGGATTTATTCATCTCCAGGAAGATTGAATTGTCATTTAGGTAAGTCTAAAGTCTTATAATAATTATTCTTGTGTTGACATTTTTCTCATCAGTTGAATTTACTGTAAATGCTGGTTGCTATGCTGAATGAAAATGCTGGTATCCCTGAGGCTGATACTTCACTGGTCTACAGTCATGATGTCATCTACATATAGTGTATACTGATTTTGGACTCAGAAATGTAGTAAAGGAAGAGACCAAAAAAAGTCTCTGCATTGATACTATGCATGATAGTGGCAATCCAGAGATTTTTTAGAATCGGTTCATTTTAATTTCCTTATCTACCACTACCAGTACTCAAGATTAAATTGATATCAACTTGATGAAAATATCTTTGCCTAATGCTGGTAATCCTGGTATCCATGATACTTGACTGGTCTACGTAAGTTATAGGATTCAAAATTGAACTGAAGAAACAGTCTTGAAAAGTCTCTGCTTTGACACTATGCATGATACATAGTGGCCAACCAGAGATTATTTATAATCAGTAAATTTTTAATTTCCTTATCTACTCAAGATTTAAATCGATATCAACCTGATGAATAATAGCTTTGTCTAATGATGGCAATCCTGGTATCCATGATACTTTACTGGTCTACTTAAGTTATAGGACTCAAAATTGAACTTGAGGAAGTCTAAAAAAGTATCTGCTTTGACACTACGATTATACTGGCAAACCAGAGATTTTTTAGAATCAGTTCATTTTTAATTTCCTTATCTGCTCAAGATATAAATCAATATTTTATGTATGATAATGCTGGTATCCATGATACTTTACAGTGCACATATGCCTTTTTCATTTCATATGTCAGCTTAGCTGTTGGTACACATTTGCTTTTCATTTAATGTCTGCTTAGTTCTTAGTACTAATAGTACACATTGGACATTGGTCTTTCATATAACGTCTGCTTAGCTGTTGGTGCACATTTGCCTTTCATATGATGTCTGCTTAGATGTTAGTGCACAAATTTGTGTGCTTCCTGTGATGTTTTCTGCTAGAGTGTCATTTGATATTGCTCCTACACTTGGCAAAGTAAAGCAGTGAAATACTGTAAATAGGAAATTTTAATTGAATTCAACATTAGTTGTTTTTTGTGTATATTATCAAGATTTTTCATTTATTCATTTATATACAGGGACAACAGGGTTATTCTAAATGATGGATCCAATTTAATACATTTGTATTTCTTTGAGTATAAATTGAAAATGATAATTTAGTTTACTATCTAACTTATACCTAGAATACAAGTCTCTGCACTGTTACTGCAGATATGGTTGTTTTTGTCATTATTGTGTTGCAAAGTTGAAGATGAATCTTAAATTTTCACCGCTTTTTTATTGTAATGGTGTTGTTCCCATCACATTCCTGTGTGATAACAACTGCTTCTTAGTGATAACATCTAATTATTAATAAAAAGCATGCTTTTGTCTTCAATAAAACTTGAGTAAAACTATACTTTAATGCACATTAAGTGACATTTGCTGCCCATGCAACTTTTATTACATGGATAGGTGTGACTGTTTGTTTAAATTTCAAGTGAGTTCACTCTATTTCATTATTTAGTCTTAATCTTTAGTTGACTTCAATGGAATAAATTTTCCTAATGTAGTACCGGTATACATATAGCTATATATCTTCATCCAGCATATTTACAGTTACAATTTGGAAAATATATATATACAAATATGGCTTGGCAAAAGCTAAGTAGGCTCAAAAAATATTTCTTCATGGATCACCCTCTTTTTCACAAGTAGGAAATGTCAACCTATGTGAAATGTCACACATAATTCATCTTCAAAACTGTCGTACTTGTTGATTTAGTGTAATTTCATCCATCATGGATTTGGTACATAAACGTGTCTAATTACCAAGTTTATTCTTCTAAAACTTTACAGAGTTTACAATCTTGAAGCTCTTTACCAAAAGAACATCAATCATGGGAGAGTATGTCTCCAGCAGCCATCATTTACAGCTATTATTGTATGAGTTTATTTAACACGCCTGTGTAATATATTGTACATTAAGTGCATGATTGAATAAATGTTACTGTGATTTCATATACTCAAACGTATTTATTGTCCACCATGACAGAATCTATGTACTCTATGTACCGTAACATATATAAATCCTTTACATTGTTTTTGTATTTCAAAGAAATATTTAATTAACTGTGCTGCTACTGTACATGTTGTCAAAGATCAACAATGTGAGTGATTTACTAGACTCCAGCAAACTACACTTAGGCATTTAGCCCTCAGTAATCATTTCGACCTCCAAATATGATCGATCAAGCATAAGTAAGTAAGTTGTCATCACGATGTTTTGGTTTTCGAGTGCAATCTAATATGATAATTTACAATTTTGTTGTAAACTGTCAAAATTATTTCAAATTTGTTATGCGTTACTCAAATGGACACGGAAAGATGCAGGGTTAGTTTGATTGCGTGAGCTGCACGGTCTCTAAGGCTGTCATCTATCGACCTGCAAGCACAGAGAAGTTCTTCTTTCCTAAAGACCTTCACCGCGCGGGCTCGCTGCCTGTTGTTGCTCTCTTACGTCTCAGTTGATACGTCTGCACCAGTCTTGTTTCCTAGCGCGTCAAACTCCCGACTCTAGAGCGATGTTGTATTCTTGCCAGATACATTCTCGTTCCGTTATCATCAGGTCCATGTAAGTAAAGTCGCAACTAGTCAAGGCCGACGATGGTTATGGCTAATGTATATAAACATTGAATCATGATTCACATTGAATCATGATTCTTTATGTGCGTAAGTTGACAATTCTGTATACATTGCTGAACCATTTATATGCCGTGAAATGTCACACATCATTCAGCTTGAAAACTTTCCGTGCTCTTGGATTTAGTGTAATTTCATACGTTATGGATTTGTTAAATAAATGTGTCGAAAGTGTGTTTATTCTTGCCAAAATCTTATTACACATTTACGCTCGTTCTTACAATATCGCGTGTGACGATTTCCCATTTTTTAAACGCTAGAAATGCTTTTTTTCGAAGTCATAAATCTTCCGTCGGAATGTTGTGAAGTGCTATCGTTCCCAAAAAGGGCCGTGTGAATTTTCCTGATGGAAAGAACGTTCACCATAAGAGATCGTGTCCTTTAGTGTCAAGGCTGCTGCTCTGATCTCATGTGATACATAATTGGGGCTCGCGTGAGAAGTTAAGTTACATAGTGTGTATAATATATCTTGTAGTATGGCGGCGCCGTGTGTGCCTCTTCTTGCGTCCGCATGCCGGAGGTGTGTGGCGGTGAAGGTGCACTAGAGGCTTCTTCCTACTTCATTTCACAATGCAATTCAGGTTTCGCGCCTGTTGTTCCCAGACGGTACGAACTTCCAGCACCTTTATCAAATTGGTACAGCGTGTATCGTTTCGAAGAATACGGTTTTCTGTATGATGAACGAATTAGAAAACTATGTTCCTATGACTTCAACGTCCTTCATTTGAAACTCGTCTACTTCCACGTTTCGCAGACGAGTTCGTACTCGTTGTACTTGGACGGTCTTACACGGCTCGACGAGTCTTTTTTGTACGATATTAAAAAAAACTTTTGAGATTTTGTTCATGCGGTTAAAAAATCTACAGCGTTCGTGTAGACTTTTTGTTCCCAGTTTTTCTGTCGCTGAGCAATCCATGCATTATGTTGATTTTATATTAATACTCAATGCAATTTCAGAGGTCTCTCTCCCAAACCGGAGCTCATTACGTGTATTCAAGTGAGACGGACACCAGTTCAAGCTATACCTGCCCTAACTCAATGGACTAATTTCAGCTCGAATTGCTGTAGCCGTATCGACCAGGAGCGATAGAGGTATATAAATGAAGAAAGTGAAGCGAGCATAGCTAGCTGGGTCGTCATATAGCAGCAAGCTTGTCTGGTCCAGATACTGACTGCATGAGGTACGGCCTTGACCAGAGAACGCTACGGCACCGATGTTTCTGCTGCTGCCTGCCTCTTACAAGCGACGCTCTCCCTTCCCCGCTCTCTACTGACACTTTGCGTAACGTGTGTATGCAGCACTTGAAACTGCGGAAACTACTCGCCTGAGAATGAGATAGGCATTACACATTATGATTCAAAACTAGCTAAGTTAATAGTTGAACCTGTAGGACCAAGTGGTGTAATCTCTTGCGTACGGAATTACGGCCTCCTCTAGTTGAGCTGTTTCTCGTGAACTCCACCGCTTTCTGATCAGCCTTAAGCCCGGTCCACACGCTCAGTTTTACACAACGATTTGTCTGCGCAGTTCTAATCGTTGCAGATAAAACGTTGCGTGTGGACGGGAAAACTGCGCAGTTTTGGAGCCGGCGGGAAAACTGCGCAGTTCCATCGAAATCTGAGCTTAAGTCGGTACCGTGTGGACGCTCTAAAAATTGCAACGATTTCAATCCGACTTAAAACTGCGCAGACAAATCGTTGTGAAAACTGAGCGTGTGGACCGGGCTTATCAGACTAACCTGCTGTAGTGATGAACTTGTGCATCGTTTTTGCCTGGGACTCTTTTATAAACGCACGTTTATAATTAATACTTAGCCTGCCAATTATTTGTTACTTGACTGAAATAATTGATGGCCTATGCTCATTTCTTGGTCCGTGACTTTCCGCCTTTTTCAGTCCTTAAGTGTATTATTGCATTATTTCAATCTGCTTTTAAATTTATTATTAACAATAATACATGCAAATTCAGTTGCACAATTAGTGTCCTAAATATTCCGGGTATAGAAATTTACAATGAATGAAGGAACTATCACCATATTAATTTTTGGACTTATAAACAAAGTGAGTTGCTTAGATCTACATCTACATCTGAGATCTACTTACGAATTTTTTTTCATCAGAAATTCTGGCTCTCAGTTCTCGGTAATCACGAATTTTAAGGTAATTGTGAATGTGCCTGATCGCAGGCAACGTGTCCGGTTAGTACACGCCTAATCATTCTACTGGTGTCAACTGGACAACTGGATTCTCACCTTCGCTTC